CTTATATTAGGATAGCAACTGTACTTATGATTTCCTTCTAGCCCTGCAGGTCAGTCTTAGAGCACAGACAGGCCAAGTTCCTTGCTCAGTGCCAAAGCCAGCAGCACTTGAACTCAGGACTTCCTGGCTTTTTTATTTTTTCGTTCTTCCTGACTCTGGCCCAGCATCTCTTAATCCGATGGGAAGAATCTCCAAACTCACGCCCCTCCCCCTGGAGAAGAATCAGTACCTCGCTTGGGGTAACAGCTGGTCCTCCGGGAATATTGTGGATTTCAAGGGCGGTTAATTCCATTCACAGTACGTTACTGGAGGGCAGACACGTGGAGGGATCTGAGAGGTCTTCCAGTCCAACCTGACGAGGACACTGAGGCCCCGGGTAAGGGACTGGAGCCCCGCCAGCCAGTGTGAAGAACAGAGGCGGGATTCGAACTCGCACAGACTCTCTTCTCTAGCCGGCTCCTAGGCCAGCCCCAGCCCCGCCCCCCAGCTCGAGACCCACCAGCGGTTAGCAGCAGGCGCACGAGCTACAATGGGTGGGCGGGGCTCCCCGGGTGGCCTATTGCGACACCCACTGTGACGCAGGGCGAGGGAAGGCGGCATTCTCCGTGCTAAGGCGGGGCGCCTGAGAACGAGGCCAGAGTTGGGGAGGAGGAGGAGGAGGAGGAGGCCCAGAGAGGGAGATGGTGGGCGGGGCGGGGGCCGGATGGGCGGGGCCGGCCGCGCGCGCCGAGGGCGCCTCCTGCGCAGGCGTGCTAGGCCGCCCCGCTGACATGGCGTCGGCGCCGAGCGCTGTCACCTCCTCACCGCCTCCGCTGCCGCCGCCGCCGGGGGAGGCTTTGTCCCCGAGCTCGTCCTCGTCGTGCGCGGCGGCGGCGGGAGCGGGCGTGGGCCCTGGGGCCGCCCCCTCCTGGGGAGCCCCCGCCGGCGGCGGCTCCACCACGGCGGCGGCGGCGGCGGCCGGGAGGGGGGACAGTAGTTGTAATGTAGACCCCCACCCCGGCCTCCGAGAAGGTGAGTGCCCGCCCCGGGAGGGGGCGCCGCGGGGTGGGGGCGCCCCCATCCCTCCAGCGGGGGGAGGGGACACATCCATGTGACCAGCCCCGCCCAGCAGCGAGGGAGGGGCCGAAAGAACGGGGCGGGGGGGGGGAATTCCGGGAAGGGAGCACGCAAGGGTTAGGAGAGGAGGAGCAGAAAGAGAGGGGGACCCCAGGAAAGGGGGGTACGGCAAGGGTTAGGAGAGGAGGGGCAGAAAGAGAGGGGGACCCCAGGAAAGGGGGGTACGGCAAGCGTTAGGAGAGGAGGAGCAGAACGAGGAGGACCCCCAGGAAAGGGGGGTACGGCAAGCGTTAGGAGAGGAGGGCCAGAAAGAGAGAGGGACTCCAGGAAGGGGGGAGTAGAGAATCGTTAGGAGGACAGAAAGTTTAGGAGAAGGGCGGAAAGAAAGGAGGGATTATGAAGGGGTAGGAGAGAAGGGGCAGAAGGAGAGAGAGGGACCCCAGGAAAAAGGAGTGTGGAAGGGTTGGGAGAGAAGGGTAGAAAGAGAGGGGGTATGGAAGCTAATAAAGAATCAGGACAGAGAAAAGATATGGAAAGGTTAGGAGAGGAGATGGGGGGGAGAGTTAGAAGTCTTTAGTAAGGAGAAGGGTCCAAGGCTTGGAAAGGGAGAAGTAAAGTGAAAATACACACATGCACACATATACATACATATATAGACATTTATATTATATATAGACGTATATAATATATGTGTACATAAATGAGTTACTGGGCTCCCTAAGTCATCTGCTGCACTCTCTCAGACTAGTAGTAGTTGCAGAAAAAATGCCAAGGTAGGAGGAGCTTCCTCACCTGGGAGTTCCATAAACCCATGAAATCAGGGTTCAGAGTCCAGTTCTTATCTCTTGTCGTCTTATTATTGTGGCACTTGGCTTAGTGGATAGAGAGCTGTCCAGGAAGGCCTGAGTTCAAGTCCTGTCTCTGACACATATGGCTGTATGACCCAGGGCAAGTCACTTCATCTCAGTGCTATAGGTAGATGTAGCTCTCTAATAAGTTGTAGAAAATTGTTAGCATTGGCAGAACAACACAGGACCAAGGACAGATCCCAGAGGCACTCTATTCTCTAATATTCTTGTCTCTAATTAAAAATGGGTTTAGAAGGGAATAGGATCATGGATCTCTGGGAAGGATCCTTAGAGGTCATTCAGTCCAGTCCCTTTGTTTACAGAGGAGGAAGCTTAGACCTACAGGGGTTCAGTGAATTCTTGCCCAGGGTCACCAGGGGAGGAGCTAGCATCCCAGTGTGATTTACTAAAAGTGGTATTGAACACCAGTTAAAGAAAAGAAAGCCACTTACTGCCCAAGTAAGTGTGGACAACTAAGAAGCTTTAGATTTCTGTGTAAATTGAGAGGCTTGGACCCATGGACCCCTGAGGGCCTTTCTAGCCTAAACTGCAGGAATCTCAGCAAGTAGATGTGCTGCTGGTTGGAGCTGACAGAGGGTAGAGTGACTTGTCTCTGTGTCACACAGCTGTTGAATGTCTGAAACTATATTGGAACCCAGGACCTTCTGACTCCCAAGTACAGTGCTGTATGCCAGGCTGCCTCTTGGGTAGAGTGGATAGCAAAAGGAAGGAGGGGAAGACTGCCTACCCTGTGGGGACAAGTCTAGCCAGGTAGGGTAGGAGGAAAAGGATGGTACGAAATGTTTGTTGGGAGACCTTGTGACTCAACCACCTGAGACCCCTTCTGGGGAGAAAGACCAGGAGACAGGGCAGAGTGAGACTGTCCAGTTTGCCGCTCACTTTCAGGCTGGGGTCCTTGGCAGTGCACAAACAGCCTCCCAGGGTTTCAGCTCATACTTGAAGATGGAGTGGGTCAGAACAGGCACTAGAAAGGAGACTACCATAGGGCCCGGCCTGATGGTTCATCCTTTGAGCTGTGGTCCCCCTATGTGGCACAGCTCCAATGACATGACTTTCTCTATCTTAATGGTACTCAAGGAAATTTTTAGGCCCACTAAATACTAAGTACAAATAGCAATAAAATACTTCCTAAGCTCCAGCCCCCTAGTCATTTTCCACTCTTTTTCCCAGACCCTGTAGTCCTGACCTCACTATACTAACACTTTTTTCTCCCGAGATTCACACTTTTGGAGTGCTTCAGGCCCTTCCTAAAGGAACCTAATCTCCACCAAATCAGGTCCCCCCTGCCTGCTTGTTCACTTTTGCTTTGGATGAATTCCATCCTAGTTGGCTTCAGGGAAATATCTACATGATGTAAATTTTAAAATTAGGTTCATTCATACTTGCTGTATAAGAAGTGCACTGAAACTTTAAATGTTTTCATAACTTTTCTTGGTTTTAAAACCTCCATTTAAAAGAAGACATCCTCCCCATCCTCCTGTGAGAGAGAGTAAACATTTAAATGCTATTTTAAAAAACTTTGCAGGGGAGAGGGGCAAGGTACTTTCCTTTTTACCACTTCTGCATACTATAAAAACAGAAGCTTCCTTCACTTCACATTATTTTTGTGTGCTATACAAAGCATAACAGTGATGGTTTTTTTAAAAATCCCTGAAATTATTTTTACAGTGAGCAAAGTGATAGTTTTTCTTATGTAAATCACAACAGACAGAAGATTAGTATAATATTCTATGTACTAGGATAACATTCTGTAACTCTTAAAAGCCCTGTTTAAAGAATTAGGCTATGTTACCGGTTTAGGTAATTGTTTATATTCAGGAATGGAAACAGCTTAGGCTTTTTACTGCTCCTTCCTGCCCCCAGAACGGAAGCTTGAGCTGTTCTGGGTTGTAGTGGCTTGTGTAACACTATACCTGTCCTCAGGTTTGTCCTCAGTGTCCTATAAAGTGAGATAGACAGCTGGCTGTGGTCAGTCACCGTCTTAGAGGAAATGGTTGTCAGTGGAAAGAACAACTGATGTGGTTTGCACGTGCAGTCTTTGGAGCATATTCAGGTCCTCCGAGCAAACTGCAGTGCCAGGTACACGATACCGACAGTACAAACTGTCATCACAGCATGGTCGAGTGGACGCACTGGGGTCTAGGAGTCAGGACACCCCCGATCTACTCCTGGCTGTGCAGCAGGCCAGCTGTGTGACCATGGGCAAGTGACCTCCCTTTCTCAGGAACACGAGGGGCTCCTGGGCTTCTCAAATTCTGTGATTCCATCATTCTGTATTTGTATTCTCTATATGGCACCTCCTTACATGTTACAGTTAACACCAAAGCACAATACATGGGAAACCCTGACTAGTAACATGAATCCGGTGGTGACATTCAAGGACTGTCTCTGGTTAGTGTCATATTCTTTTTCTTTAGAATATTAAAAAAAAAAAAATACAGTTCCTCTACCAGCCCAGGAAATGAACCTTTTGTCATTTACTGTTAGGTGATTAACCTTGTACCAACGCGTTCTGACTTGACACAGGTGGTCATTTTGAAACATTCACATTTAAGTTTAGTAGTCTTAAGCATTTATAAGGAGGCAGCTTGGCGTGATGGGTAGAGTACTAGGCTTGGAGTCAGGAAGACCCTGGGTTCAAAACCTGCCTCTAATATTAGCTGATGACCTGCCCACTTGTAAGTCACTTAGACTCTCCTGGGAGCATTATCCCTCAAGCAGCTCCCTCCCTAGGGCTTTTAGGTCATCAGAAGTGTTTATTGACTGAGTTGTTCTGGTACTGGGACCCCTGTAATACTGTAGTTCTAAGTTCTGGATAGGGGATAAGTAAGAAAAGAGGGAAAGAAGAACAGGCATTTTATTATTTCTCGCTAACGCTTTCCTGGTAGTGTAGCTGAAGAACCACTCACACACTCCTCCTGCCTCTCAGGATCCTGATCAGATTATTATAGCAAAAGTGGCCACATTCATTCCACTTTAGCTGCAATGGGCTGATCAGGATCTTGGCAGTGTCCTGGGAAAGGATGGTCAAAGGTCAGCCTGGCAAGAACTACAAGGAGCCCAGAAACAGAAGCTGAAATGTATTTGGGGAAATCAGAATGTAGGCTCAAACCCAAACAAAATGAAATGAAGACACTTCCATGAAGAGAAGCATTCCAAGAGCTCATGGTAAGAGTCATCATTCTGTCTTTCCAAGATATTGGTATTCCAATGAGCCAATTTTTAAAAATGTTAGAATAACACTAAAAACAATGTTTATCACCCACCTGTGGCCCTCCTGCCTCAAGTATATGAATCACTTTTATGTTTCCCCACTTACAGAAAAAGAAATGTAAGATGTTCTTCATTGAGAGGGAGCAAAACTCCTAGCTTCATTATTTCAGCAACAATCAAGTTGTTTCTATTATAGCATTTCTCTAAAATAGCCAAGATGAATGTTAATCTTCAGGATCATGAGGCAGAGATACATAGATTTTGATACAGATGTTATCAGATTCAAGTTAATTACCAGTATAAGAAAAAACCCAGCAGACTGCATCATAGCATTCTCCTTATAGAAAATTCAGAAATCATTCAACGCAAGGAATTTTTTTTTGTTGTTGTTTTTAACTAGCTAGGGAGAATCATACTTACAAGTAATGAATGACTGGCTGAAAAAGCATTTACTAAGCACTATTTTCCAAGGACTGTGCTAAGACCTGGGGATACAAATAGAAAAAAAACCCAAGACAATCCATGCTCTCCAGGAGATCCCACTAAGGGCTCTGCTGATTGTGTCTGCACTAGGTAAGAAGATGAGAGTAGCAAATTCTTACATTATTCTATAGTTCTTTCATGAAAAATAGTAACTTGTTAGATTGAAATCCTGTGCACTTATTACAGATAGCATTGTATAAAATTGATGGAATGAAATGAGTATGAAGGGCTTACCATGGAGGCAGCTAAAATGTCTCAGTTGATGGAGTCAGGAAGACCTGAGTTCAAATCCTGCCTCAGTCCCATACTGGCTGTGGGACTTTGGGCAAGTCACTTAACTGCTCTCAGTCTCAGTTTCCCCTTCTGTAAAATGAGGATGATAACAGCACCTACCTCCCAAAACTGCTGTGAGAATCAAAGGAGAGAATTTTTGTAAAGCATTTTGCAAACCTTAAAGTACTCTGTTAATGCTAAGCTCTTATTATTTGCAAAGGAACTGTACCCAAGGCCCTGGTGTAAAAACTGGAACTTCAACATATACGAATTCAAACACATTATCAAATAATATCAGCACTGTTATGGGATGATTTTCACATAGGATAATGATGCTTTAAGAGCTGTGCTCTTGATTTGTTTTTCTTAAGAGACCTAGCCTACAGGCCATCTTAAGATGTGCAAAGGTCAGTTTTACAACTAGCTTGTAGTTAGTTCATTATCAGCAAGCATTTATTAAGAGCTTATTGAGTGCTAGGCACTGTGCTAAGTGATAGAGACACAAAGAAAAGCAAAAACAGTCCCTGCCCTCAGGGAGCTTACCATTTAATGAGGGGATAACATTCTGACAACTGTCTATATACAAGATATTTATAGTGTAAATGGGAGGTAATTTCAGAGAGGAGGCCCTGGGAGGGTGTTCTGGATTGGGAAAGGCCTACAGAAGGGGAGATTTGAGCTGAACTTGGAAGGAAACCAAGGGGAGGAAGGGGAGCATTCCAGGCATGGAGGACAATCTTGAAGAGGCTCAGGGTTGTGTCCATGGAACAGTGAGGAGGCCAGTGTCGATGGGTCACCAGGTTGGGGTGGATGGCAGCCGTACAGTATAAGGAAGCTGGAGGTAGAATGGGGCCAGGTTGTTAAGGACATTAAGGGCCAAATAGCATCTTCTGTGTAATCCTGAAGGAATGGGGAGTGGGGATGGTCAGACCAAGGCTTGAGGATCATCTCTCTGACCAACTGGAGTGGGAGAAAATCCCGAGGCAGGCAGACAGACAAACAGAAGACTATTGATGTGATCCAGGCATAAAGTGATGAGGGCTGCACCAGAGTAGTATGAGATCATTGTTGTGAAGGGAGAGGAAACTAGATTTGGCAGCGTTGGGTTTGTGGAGTGAATGAGTGCAAGAGAGGAAATGAGGATGGCCCTGGGGTGGCAAGGCTGAGAGAGGACTGTGGTGCCCTAGATAGTAATTGGGAAATTTGGTAGATGAAGGGTTAGGAGGGAGTTAATGAGCTTTGGATCCTGAGTTTAAGATGCCTTGAACATCCAGTTTGAGACATCCAGTAGGCAATAGATGATCCAAGACTGAAGGTCAGGAGAGACTTTAGGGCTGCATAAAGAGATTGAGAGTCAGATACATAGAAATGATCATTGAATCACTGGAGCTGTTGAATCCCCAGTGGATATAGTATACAGTGAGAAAAGCACGTTTCTAGGGGTGGTTATATATTTCCAGGACAAGAAAGAAGTGTGGACATCCCTTGAAGTTCCTTTTAATAAGCTTTGACCTGCAGTGATAAAACAGAGAAATTTCTTTGTCTCTTGTCACTGTCAGCAGAGCAAGAACTGGCTCAGGAGCCTGGGTTTTCCACAGCTCAGTGCCAGATTTTGCTCACTGGTCGCCAGGATTTCATAGGTAGTGAAAGGCCAGATCGACTTTTCTTTCCCTGTTTAGACAACATGAAAACATCTTTCTATTTTTGTGAAGACTTATTTGGGAGTGATCACATAGCTCTACAAAATACTGCATTCCTTCATGTATGACTATGGCAGTTTAGTTCTTTAGCATTCTACTCCACATGTAGGATTCAGATTTGGGGGGTGGGGAAGAGCAAAATGAAATTTGGTGTTTCCTTTATCTCTTGGGGATTATCCGCAGGGCCTTTGCGCATAAGAGAGCCTTAACAAGTGGTTGGGGAATAGAAATCTGAGTCCAAAATACAAAACCAGCACTCTTGAGGAAAGCAGCCCTTTTTTCCCTTTATAAACATAAATTATTCAAATCACAGAACACTTAGCCTTTTTAATACATCTCCCGAGGTTCCCCCTGTGCTATATGTCAGGATTAGTTAGCCCTAAACTCCTAAACTCTCACTTCAGCATATAAGCCTAAGTAATGGCCAAAAGTATATTTCCCATAAATAGAGAGTTTTGAGCTCATTTAAAATTGCACCAAGACTCTTAGAACCACACACACACACACACACACACACACACACACACACACACACACACTCACGCTCACACTCAACGCCCCAGTAGAGGTCACTGGCATAGTTTTTTTTTTTTAAACCAACAAAATTTTGTAAGTAATTTATTGCTAGGTTCATTTGGAGAAGAAGTGTTGCCTAGTGGCTAGAGCAGGGGTGGGGAACCTGTGGCCCTCCTGGTCCTCAAGCGGGGCCCTTTGAATCCAAACTTCACAGAACAAGTCCCTTTAATAAAAGTATTTATTCTGTAAAACTTGGACTCAGTCAAAAGGCTGCACCCAAGGACCTAGAAGGCCACATGTGGCCTCGAGGCTGCAGGTTCCACATATACACACCCCATTCCCAGGAGCTAGAGAACCAGCCATGGAGTCAGGAAGACCTGAGTTCAGGTCCTGACAAGTAGTGGTAGACACACACACACACTCCCTCTCTCTCTCTCTCTCTCTCTCTCTCTCACTCACTCACTGTATGTCCCCAGGGCATGTCCCTTCACCTATCAGTGCCCTCAGCCACTAAGACTTCCTGCTACTTTGGGAGTCTGCATCAGTGGAGGGAACTTCCTCCTTGGGAATTCCTGGAACTAGTGAGTGGGCAGTTCCCTATGCATGCTCCCACCCTTCTCCCCAAAGATTCATTTACATCTAATAAGTAAATAGATCTAACCTTCTACAAAATCATTAGAGTAACAGTAAGCCTTTCAGCAGAATTGGATGCTAAGCAAAAGTGGCTTAAATTCCATCAGTGGTCTTCATGTCTTCAGCTGCATAAGCATTATCAACTCTCCTTGGGCAGAATCAAATCTGTTCTCATCTCCTTAGTTCCATCTCCAGAATCATTTATGTAAGCACAGAGTCTTTATAATCCTTACTGCCTCACGCTTTATCATTAAATCTGTCAAAAAAGCAGTGATGTCTAAAGTCACTTGATAGTATCTAATAGAATTAGTTAAGAAAGGGATGTAGATTGGTATCTCTGCTGGCCGGGTGACTGGGCAGGTCATCTAACCTCTCACTATCCCAGGCCTCTCCCCAAGACTGCGTTGGTAAGCAGGGCCCAGTCTGCATTGGTGGAGGACATTCCTTATACCAGTGATTCTGAGGTCCAACCCAAATAAAAATGGATCATTGCAGGAAAATAAGGGGGCAGTTGGCCCTAACTTTGGGCAGTTTGTGCTTTCTAACTGATGGCTAGAAACCAAATGGCAGTTTCTATTATAAAATAGAAGATTTCACAGAAAAAGAAAACCCTGAATGTCTAAATTGAGAATTATTTTCAAGGAAAGGAATGTTGATTGTAGCTATTACTAGGGAAGGCTAGGTGTTAATACTGGGAGTTCTTTAGAGTACCTTCCAAAAGGGGAAATTCATTGTCTACTGAAAGCACTCATTCTACTTTAGGAATGTAATTGTAAAGCTGTTAATTGTTAAGATTTTCTTCATAAGAAGTCTAACTCTGCCTCCTGCTTCTTCCCCCCACCCCATATCGTTCCTAGTTCTGCTCCCTAAGGCAAACAGAATATGTCTGATCTCCCTTCTTCATGACTGACAGCTTTTCCAAATTCCAAATTCTGCCCCCCCAGTAACTCTGTTTCAATCACGTTCTGCTTCAATCACATTCTGCTAGTCCTTTCCTCTGATCCCCTGGAACACGTTTTCCAGGCCTCTGGCCATTTCTGTCACCACCTTCTCCACACGCAGCTTTTCTATGCCTTTTTAAAAATGTGCCACCCAGAACTGAAGACAGTATTACCTATGTGGTTTGATCAAGGCACAGCACAGGGAACCTTTGCCTCCCTTCTTCCTGACACTGTCTCTCACCACAGGCTTCAGTACCACACTCTTGACTTAGATTTACAGATGGCCCAGTTCTTTTTCATAAGGACTCTTGTCTACTCACGCTGCTCTCATCTTGTACTTGGGGTGTGGGGACGATCTTTTTTTGAATCCAACACTTTTTTTGAACCCAACACTTTTTTTGAACCTGAC